ATGTTTTAAATTAAGCATTTCAGACGGATGGAAATACGTATTGTCCCCTACACGTTGGGTGCTTTAGATGGTGGCAATGCCCTAGCACCTGACTCAGTTCCCTGCAGACTCCTTTTTTAGGCACACATGTAATCTTCTAGAAAATGCCCTGAAAGTTGAGCAATCTACCACTTGCAGGTCTCCTTACAGCCTTTTTTCCCGTTGTGTAAGCATGACAAATCATTAATTTTTGATTGATTGCTTTGAATTATGGGAGCTCTGACAGCCTTTTCTGTAGCTGAACAGCTGTATAACAAATGAACATATCAGTGCTCACAAAAGATTGGAGATCTAACAGAAGCAATTACATTGTCAACTCCTCCCTTTTGGCTTTTCCCAGGCAATGGAGGCAGGAAATTTTTTACTAGAAATTCCTCAAGTGACTTAAAAAAAAAAAAGCTGGTTTATAATTGAATTAAATCTTTATCTCTTCATTTCTAGTAGACTACCCCAGCCATCAGAACTCCAGATATGCCTGTGCTCTTCATGACGGAGATAAATCTCACTAACAAAATTTCACATTAAGAATTTAAAAGAAATAAAATTGCAATTTTTGTTTCCTATTCCTTTAAGATTTCCAAATTGCACCCAGTGCACTAAATGTGACCTCCTCAACTTTTAAATTAAGAATTTATGCTGGCTTGAAATTTATGAAATATTTCAGCATTAAAGAAAGCCTTTTCCCTCAGGAAAATTGAGCAATAAATCACAGCTCTCTGGATTTACAGCCCTACAGCCAGCCACGGATAGGATTTTTCCACCCTTCGTTCTGAAAAAAAAAAAAAAAATGTAATCATATGAGACAGCTTAGCTGCTATCCTCCCACTCTCTAGAATTTTTAATTTCAGCTGTTTCTGCTTGGATTTATTTCCAATATTCCTGCTCGGCTTTTCAATTTCCTCAGTTATTAAATTTTAATTCAGTGCATTAGCATTTAAATTAAAAAAGGGTTTATTTTATCGAAATCCTTGGCTAGCCTCCATCTTGCCTGTTTCTGCCATTTGCACAAAATGTGAAATACAGTTAATGTCTTATAACTTATATTTGCACAAATTCAGAAATAAAATTTCTGAGATTGGAATAATATTGTCTTTCCAAGGAAACCTGTAGGGTGGAGGGGGGCAGGAGGCACAGTACCTAGCAACTTTATGAGGAAAAAATAGTAGCAGCTTCTTGATAACACAGTTCAAGCAAAGAAAAGGTCGTGAATTGGACAATTCACAAATGGGTGAGGGAAAGGGAGTTTGACCCTTTCCAATTAGAGAGAGAGGCAGATTTGTTTAGAGCGGGGGGTGGGGGGACCTTTTTTGAGTTGGGGGCCACTGACTCACAGAAAAATCAGCTGGGGGCCTCTCACAAGTGAGAAGCAAAAAAAAACCCCTCCCTGAGGTGGCCCCCAACTGAGAAACAGAAAGACATCCCCCCCCCACACACACACACATTCCCCTCACACACCAGAACCTGGGGAAGCCCAGGCTATTAGATTTTGTGTGCCCTGAGGGCTGGAGTACCAATGTGCTAGAAGGGAGCCTTGAGCCTCGGGGCCTGATCCAGACAAGCTGGTCCCTGGTTAGAGAAACAACAAAGCCAGGCTTCTCGCTGATTCTGGGGATCCAGAAGTCCCACTTTCCACAGGCTGACTAGTTGGGCTGGTTCATCTACGGAGCTCAAGTGGTCGAAACACGTTTTGAGACCCAGAGCTCCTAGGTCCTGACCCAGCTCTGGCTCCGTGCCTGGCTTATGTGGCTTTGGCCAGGTCACTTATACTCTTGGTCTAAGCCTCCTCACTGCTAATGGGATTCATACTTCGCTACACAGCAGCGTTGTGCAGATTGACTGACAGGGAGACAGGAGAGCTTGTTCTGCTACTGACATCTTGTGTCCTTGGGCACTTCACTTAATCTCTCTCTGTCTCAGTTCCCCATCTGTGCAAGAGGGAAAATGCTACTTTTCACCTGTACAATAGTAGGGTGAATATATCATCTGTTAGGGATGTTAAATATCGGTTAATTGAATAGTCGAGTAACCTCATAGATTCTTATCGGTTACTATTCTGTAGTCCCTGGGGGTGGGACCAGCAGCCAATGTGCTCTGGCCCCACCCCCAAGGAGCTCCCTGCCACTCTGCACTGCTGCCTCTGAATCAGGTGGGAGCTGGTCCATGAAGGGAACCTGTTTAAAAACCAGCTCCCCTCGCGGATCAGCTGTCTGTCACCCTGCGCTGCCTGGTTCCTAGTACACTTTAAATATAGAGCCGCAGTGGGGGTAGGTCCTGGACCCAGCACAAGCAAGTACTGAGCCAGGCTGCTGGCCAGCGTGCTAAAAAAAAATGTCCTGGCATGGGGTGGGGAGGGGGGCGGGATGCGTGTAGTCTATCGCATTAACCTATAAGCGTTTGCTCATCGGTTAATTGACGGCACTATTACATCCCTGACGTCTGTTAGTTTCTTGAAGTGTTCAGATGCTATTTAATAAAGGACAAAAGCCGTTGCTAGTCAAGCACTCCCACGCGGGCTGCTTTCAGGGCCCACGGTTGCGCTGTCCCGTGGGAGCTCTGACCTAGTTATACAGCGTGTCAAAGTGACCGGTCCTGCCGAGACCATATTTAAACCTGCATGGGCAGTTGCATGGCAGAAATATGCTGTGCCACCCTCTGTCTTGGGAGGGACTCTTGTCCACCCTCCATCCTCTCCAGGAGGTCATTGAATTATGTGCTGCCGGGGCAGGTCTTTGAACCCTGCCCCTCCACCCCCTGGGTTTTTGCAAACTAGCTGTTGAGCGCAGGAAGAGCACAGGAAAGACAGAATGACGCCAGGATCCTTTTCGGTTAGGGAGTTCTGGCGTGCTCGCTGCCCCCGGCAACATAGCTGCGTTTCCTTGTGCAGAACCTTCCGCTGGTCCCAGGTACGGGAAGGGAAACCAGCTCTTGCCTTTGCTCTTGCATCCGACGGTTCCAGGATTGTAACTGGTGTTGCCTTGGGAATGGATCAGCTGTAGCTAGAGGCTCCAGCTCCACATAAAACAATGCAGTTTGAATCCTAGAATCACTGGGTTGGCAGAGACCTCAGGAGTTGAGTCCAACCCCCTGCCCAAAGCAGAACCAACTCCACAATCATCCCAGCCAGGGCTTTGTCAAGCTGGGACTTGAACACCTCTAGAGATGGAGATTCCACCCCCTCCCGAGGGAACCCAGCCCAGCGCTTCATCACCCGCCTAGGGAAATCATTTTTCCTAATATCCAGCCTAGACCTCCCCCACTGCAACTTGAGCCCATTGCTCCTCGTTCTGTCACCTGCCCCCACTGAGAACAGCTTCTCTCCAGCCTCTTTGGAACCTCCCTTCAGGAAGTTGAAGGCTGCTCTCAAATCCCCCCTCACTCTTCGCTTCTGCAGACTAAACAGACCCAAGTCCCTCAGCCTCTCCTCATAAGTCATATGCTCCAGCCCCCTAATCATTTTGGTTGCCCTCCGCTGGACCCTCTCCAATGCGTCCACATCCTTTTTGTAGTGGGGGGCCCAGAACTG